AATATGTGCTGTTTCAATACAGGATTTGATATCGGGCAATCGGGCAATTTTAACATTTCTTACTGGAGCGTCCCCTGTATAAATGGTTCTCTACTCTTCAAAAAATGGCAATAATGGTACTAGTCCAGAATAGACTTCCTGTTCAGCGGAATGGATGGAAATAACAGTTACATCACTCATGAAGATTGATGATTTGATTACTGGCCGGGATAGATGTATTTAGTGCTCATTTCTATGCAATATGTCTACACTTGCGATTCTCAATTTCGATGTGTAAAATCATATCGCTGCTATGGACGCCGACGGCTGATGTTTTGGTTCTGCGCATGGCATGGGCACCGTCCCTCATTGATTTTTGGGCAATTGATTTTTGGGTTTCTTTTCTTTTGATATTCTGACGTTTACTTGGTTGTATTTGTTTATATACTAGTCAGACACTGACAACAAGTAAGTAAACTGGCCGAGACATAGTTTACATTACAATCTCATGCTTCCGAACAATCCGATATTTATGCTGGAGAACAAAGTATACAAGTACTGTCTACGATATACTGCAAAGTGGAAATACTATACCTATGTAACCGTTGTTGATTTGTACAAAATTCCAGGAACACAAAACAAAACAACTAACAACAATCGACAAAACAAAAAACAAAAAAACACTACACAGTCACTGTAGCCACGCCAGTGAGAAAAATATACTGTGGAACTCATGGCAAATGTAAATACAGAATAAGTATATGTCAGTAAATACAATATGCATATATAAAAAATTGCAGTTTGCAGCCTCTATGGATAAGTTCACAGTTGTGAGCTGAACTTAAAATGTCATTAGGATTTCGACATGAAGTTACACAGAACGAAAAAAATGCAATATTAAGACAAGGAAAATGCTTTCTTGTCAAGGCTATATACTAAATTCCCTTATCCTGGGGGTATTTTTGTGAGTGTACATGCATGCATTAATATTATCAAAACTTTAAACGTAATCATAGTACAAATGTAAAGTAAACAAAATTATCGAGTGATTTTAGATTTGGTGGGAAAGTAGCCGAAATGCTGTGAGATTGCCTAATTGGTGGTGGGAATTGCCAAGCCAATTTATAAAATAGTGAACAGTGAAACATTTTCGTAAATATTACGGCCCGCGAAAGTCGCCCACCGCGAAGTGTCTTGTTTACTAAAATAAATATAGAGTTCACGCAGAGAAAAAACAAAAACACAAGATATCGATCAGATATATTCTCATTATTTTACACTCATTTCAGATTAACAAAAAGTTGTTTGTAGTTATTTTTTAAAAAAATATTTAGAAACTCAACATAGCGGTTGGAACCCATCCGACAAACGACATAAACTTTGAATGTGACATCGCATTGATTTGAGAGCCCACCGATCAGTTTCCTACATAGGGTGTGGTATCGAATCTATACAACTGCATTTATAAGTGTTTATACAAATATACAGTAACAGCAACCACAGGTAACCCCAAATTAAATTTGTTTATAATTAATACGATTTAATTTTATCGAGTGCGGTGTTGTAAATGTCAATTCCGTAATTGATAGATGCACTACATAACGTGGTAAATGCACTACATAAC